AGGACTGCAAAGACAGACAGGGACCATAGATTGAGATGGCCACAGACTGACAACATGGCTCCGGGGACCGACGACATGCCTTCGGGGTTTGTAACTATTTCATCCACATGAAATAGTTACAAACTTTGATCTTTTAAAAATTATCAATGATATCCAGATTTCGAAGTTGCATCAAGAGTATTATTAACATTGCTAGGTTTAAAGAAGCTTCAGGATATAAAGCCATCACCAGGCCAAGATAAGACAAAGATAAGGTTGGTATCTGTATAGAGAATGAATTAAGTAAACAAGTTTATTTTGGAGAGAAAAATATGGATGATTTGGCTTCATTAAAAACAAAAAATATATTATTATTATACTTGAAAATTAATAAAATACCCTTTATCCTAACTGTAATGGTATTTATGCTGTTTTAATGTAATTTATTATTTTGAATGAATTATCAATAAGGAACTGATGTACCTGATTTTACTTTAATATACACTATTTTTCTAAGCATATATGTATTAAAAAATAAAAAACATTTAATCCTTTACATACCCAAACCGGTTCAACTATTATAAAAATAAAAATTATTTGCATAATCAATAAACACTGTAAAAAATTAAACTAGATCATCAGTGAGATCAATGAACAAACGTATAAAAATGCAGTAACAAATGCATAAAAATTTCAAAAAAATGAATGCAAAACAGTGCAAATAAAAACGCACAATGAAATATACAGAATTTATAGCTCTCAGCACATCACTGTCTGGTGTATCAAGAGAAACAAATGAAACAACCTAGTTCTATACTGATAGTGACACATATTTACATTTTAAAACTTTAATAAATTACAGTTTGTCCTTGTTAGTCCATCACCTACATGCTGGAATAAGAACAGCATAATTGCCCAATTTTCCACAAGTTCCAAAAATACAAACAATTGTTTAAAACAAAGAAAATCCATTCCTTTGATTAAAATACAAAACACGTCAAGCAGATTAATTCTTTGAAGACCAAAACGCCTGAGATGGCCTTTCATTTAAATGACCACAACTGCCCAGATTGTGATGTTGTTTTCTACTCTCCCTTTAAGGTATGCAGTAGGAGCAACAGATTCCTCAAATGCATTGTATCATTTTATTGCAGACAGCTTTTAAGGATTTTTTTTTTTTTTTTTTTTTTTTTTTTTTTTTTTTTGTCTTTATTTGTTAGGAAGCAGAAATGATGTCATTTGAAATCTTCACATTTATTTGTGAGTTAATGGAAGAAAAGGGGAGAAAATTGCTGTGTATCTCGAAAGCTATTTCAAGCAGTTCGGTATTTTTAAGCATACATGTTTGCAAAGGTTTCGGATTTTAAAGTCTAAACCTAAATAAATAAACTAACAACACATGAAATATTAAACATAGTAGGAAGCAGAAATCAAATTATAGTCTATAACAATCTAGTCTAAATAAGAAAGTAACTACTGTGTCAAATGTTAACTATTAAGAAACTTCAACAAAAGCAGATTTACTGCAAATCCATGTATATTTAAAGCACTGGGTTCAGTAAATCCTAAACTGTGCTTTGCGGCAATCAGCTATACCAAATTAAGATGCTTTTGCTTACGAAATATTTTTCAGCTTTAATTTAGAAGTTCAGTTTGATTTTTTATTATACATTTGTGATTATAGTAAAATGCATTATATATATATATATATTTGTATATATGATCTTAAATTCCTTTAGTGTGAAAACAAGTTACTACTACTTGCGCAATTGCTGCAAAGTAAGTTAATAATAATTTATTTACTAAATATACACAAGATTTTGTTTTCTAATATTTAGTAACTGACGTTTGCAAATAAAATTATAGAATGCAAGTGTCTGAAAACAAATGCAAGCCACAGTATACGCCATATTTCACACACAATCAGTAACATGAGTTTGAAAAGAAAATATATACATGTAGCAAAACTTAACTTTATTTAAAACTTCCACTTAAATGCCTACACACAAAACAATCTAATCACAATTCAATAATTTGAAATAATATTTATAACAAAAGAAATTTACAAAAATTAAAATTCATAACAAATTATAGCCAGTATAAAATGCAACCTCTATAAAATCAACTTTCAGTGATGAATAAATAAAAGCTAATGCTGAAAATTCATTATCAGTACAGGACTGAGAATGTTATGAAAATACATGAATCAATCGCAGGTACAGTGCAGAGATCACAGAGGATTCAATCACAGATAACAGGCATCAAGATGCTTTTTAAACACTTTTTAGGCAAATTATTTTAAAAAATAAATAGTATCACTTTTGCATCATTTTTTTAATAATATACAATCTACAGATCTATCAAATGTAAAACAAGAAGGACGACTCATTATAAGATGCACATTGGTTTTATCATGAACTAAAAGAATATAACTTTTATTTAAGTAAAAAATTTGAGTAAAGACAATACACAGAAGTAAATAATGCAATTTATATACTATGTAAATGTATTAATTCAGAAGTCAAACAACAAAAATCAGCGTTATATTTTCAAATTTTCACAGGACTAGTTTCAATGGCTTAACCGAACCATCACCCTCAGCTGCAAAAACGCAAATGAACAAGATAAGGTATAATGATTAGATAAGATGATAAAGCCTGCACAGGATACAAGCCACTGGCACCATCTGTTAATGAAACTAGAACTAAAACATAATTTCTTTAAAGGCTGAAGGCAAAGATAGATTAGAATTAGGGTCGTTAACTAGAACAGAAAGATTATTTTGAATGTGAAATACCTCTAAAAAATCCAGTTCACCAATGGAAGAAGTTTTTTGAATAATTTTGGCAGCAGAACAATTATTCAAAAATATTTTTAAAATCAAAAATTATTAAAAAATATAAAAAATTATTCAAAAAACTTCTTCCATTGGTGAACTGGATTTTCTAGAGGTATTTCACATTCAAAAAAATCTTTCTGTTCTAGTTAACGACCCTAATTCTAATCCATCTTTGTCTTCAGCCTTTAAAGAAATTATGTTTTAGTTCTAGTTTCATTAACAGATGGTGCCAGTGGCTTGTATCCTGTCCAGGCTTTCTTATCTTATCTAATCATTATACCTTATCTTGTTCATTTGCGTTTTTGCAGCTGAGGATGATGGTTCAGTTAAGCCATTGAAACTAGTCCTTTGAAAATATAATGCTGATTTTTGTTGTTTGACTTCTGAGTTAATATTTTTTCAGCGTGTTATTGTATCTTAATTATGTAAATGTAGTTAACAAAATATTTTTACCGACTAAATTGCACTAAAATAACAATGGAACATATATACCTTGATAAATATAACAAATGATACAACATCTATACATATATGTCACAGATAAACTGATGCAGGAATATAATCAATGTACATAAAATATATAACATAAACATAGCAATATAATTCAGAATTCAAACAACAAAAATCAGCGTTAATTTACAAAATTGTTGTTGAATTCTGAATTAGTATTTATTCGGCGTGTTATTGTGTCTTAATTATAGCAATATAAACCATGAAAAGTACATCCATAAATAGAAATAAGAAATTCTACAATGCACTAAATAAGCAATGCAAGATGTACATTTAAAAATATACATAATGATACAATTTACGTAAAACAGATTAAAAAACTTAAGCAGCAATGCACAGAAGACATGTAACATACAGAACAGTCAATTATTCAGTACATTTCATCTTTGAGGGGGGGATAAGACATGTACATGTTGTTTTCTTTGAAAGACAATTTAAATGTTTTACACAAGAAAATTTTAAGCATTAAACAACTTCCACATTAGCCAGTAGATGGTGTGGTAACATTCTGAAAGAAAAATTTACAAACTGCATCAGTCTGCAAATGGTTACCATACAGGAAAATGTACAATGTATGCTGTGTGGTTTCATGAAAGAAAATGTGTTTTAACTGTTCAGAGACATTTTCTTTTAGAATACTCAAATCATCCTCCTCCAGGTAAGGACTCCCTAGGATATTGATTGTGTGATGGAAGCTTTTAGGAGAAACCTGAATACATTGCCTCTCTGTGCTCATTTGCAGCAGGGAATATCAAGAACAACTGCTAAGAGAATTTTCCATAAATGTCTCAAATTGTGTGGTGGAAGCTTTTAGGAGAAACCTGAATACATTGCTTCTCTGTGCTCATTTGCAGCAGGGAATATCAAGAACAACTGCTATGAGAATTTTCCATAAATCTCTGAAACTTAATGCATATAAAATGCAGTCACTGTACAAACTGAAACCAAATGACAAACCTAAATAATTTAATTTTGCTATGCATATTCTGAACAAGATCGAAGACGACCCTTAACTAGAAAACATCTAAATGAAGCAACTTTCCATGTTTCTGATTGCGTTAACCATCGTAACTGTTGGACCTGTGGAACTGAATCTCCTAATGCAGTAAGAGAAAAAGCACACAGTAGCCTGAATGTTTAGTGGGCACCGGTTGCAAATGAAATTTTCAGACCATTTTTTATGATCGAACAGTGACAAGTGTTACAGATCTAGATGTGGTACAGTGCTATACTTCTCCTCAACTCAAATGCTGTCAACCTCAAGTTACCTTTTTCAACAAGATGACACTCGACCACACTGGGGTTCCATAGTTAAAATGCAGCTCGATAAAGCATTTCCTAATTGTTGGATTGGCCATGGAGACCAATACCATGGCCACCAAGTTCCCCCAACATTATAACCCTTGACTTTTTCTTTTGGGGTATGTTACGGACCGAGTGTATGCAACTTGATTATGGATACTGATGACCTAAAATGACAAATCACTGGAGGAATAACTGCCAAAATGCTACAAAGCACTTGGCATGAAACTGAATATCAGCTAGATATTAAGCATGTCACAAATGGAGCTCATGTGGAAGTTATTTAAAGTTTAAAATTTTGTTATGTAAAAAACTGCTTTAAACTGTCTTTCCAAGAAAACAATAAACATGTACAAATCTCATTTTGTTCTTTTTTTTTTTTTTTTTTCAAACATGAAATGCATTCAATAATTTTGAACCACCTTGTATTTAATGTTAAGTGTTCACAGTTGTACTATACATAAAAAAATTCTCAGTTTAAAATGAAACAATTTTTCTGACTAAACTGCATTCATTTAAGAGCAGTGCAACACATACACTTAAAAATGTAAATTATTGTATAACACATATACTTAAAAAGTCCACAGCTTATAATAAACTAAAATCATAGAAAACAAACATAAAAATATTAAAGTTAAACAATACACATAAAGAACAAGCATAAAAAATTAAACAAAACAATACACATAAATAACAAACTTGAAAATTTTGAAAGCATAACTTTTAATATTCCAGCGTTCAAAGTTCTAATGTACACATCTAATCTGAAATAAATTTTGAATCTAACTTAAATTTTCATTGCATTTGAATTGTTGGTAGCTATTCTTTAATTAAACAAGGTCTGAAACAGAAGTAATTGCCTTTTATCTTACATAATAAATCACTCATTCTCTTCAAAATAAATAGAAATTGTGTAAGTCTTTTATCCACAAAATATCATTTATTTCATTAATTCAAACCATAAGTATACTCATAATCTAAACAAACACAGTTCTACACTACCTTACATGTACTAAAATTTATAAAAGTAGTAAAACTGTTTACAGCTTTATTGTGAGTATAAACACATTCAATTAATCTACTTAACAACAATTATATTTTCCAAAGAAATTCTGCACATTTTAAAATTGAAACGATGCAAAATTTCTTTAAAAAAAGTTATATAAAAAGTTATTTTGCCTGAGTTATGATATTCTAATGTTAATGCGTAATGTGACTGAAATTTTATAAAGAGGACCTGATGGTGCCAACACATTTTACTACTTTCGGAACTACTTAATACGTGTAAATTTCTTTCAAAATAGCTCTTTAACTTTCTGTAATTTACATCAAACATACTTTAGGTATACATATATCATAATGCAGCTTACAGTTGTATCTCTAACATTTGTACATTATTTTCATGCTACATATTATTTCATACTATGAAAATTTATACAAAAGAAAATACAGATTAGATTCTTGCAAACATTTCCTCATATTTTATCTAACCAAAATAATGTGGAAGGCTATCATATAAAAGTTAATAAATGAATTAGTTTAATTACAATGCATAGATTATTTATTATCTTAATGATATTTCACGAGTTTGTATTCAGGATGTTGAAATTAAGCTGAACAGGACATCCAGTCAAATGTTAATAATGATGATCTTAAGAGCATAATCTTTGCAAATTTAAGTAAAAAAAATTAAAGATTTTAATAACTGCTTTTTCATTTTCAAGAAATGATGATTAGAGAAGTAAATAATTTATGGGCTCTTTAAATTTACTGATATAAAATCAATAAAGAAACTGCAATATCATTTTTCAACACACTATGTATCACCAAAGGATGACAAATTCCTTATCTGTGATTTAAGTATTTTTCAAATGCACTAACTTAAAAGCTTTTTCATTTAAATTACTTTATGAAAACTGAGTTATCTGCAAAAAAATTCAAAGAGAAAAATTACTGAATACTATATTTGTCACAAAATTGTTCATTTAAGAAATAACTGATGTAAATATGAATTTTTTATTTTAAAAAACAGCAGTGTGCTTAATCCTCATGCATATGAAATGCACGTTGTATACTACTCCTACTTTGTTGCTCAAAAAATAAAATTACACGATGACATATAGGACATATATTACGTTCATCTAACCATTTTCTCAAACAATAACCATGAAAAAAATGATTGCACCTAGTAATATGAGAAACCACCTTTCTAAGATCATCATAACATATGGCACATACACCACCCATAAAAACTATTTCCTCTTCAGATGCCTTTGGAAGAGAAGTAACACAGCGAGAAATAGTACGTCTTTTTTTCAGAGTATTCCAAAAATCAATCAATACACACCAGACATGGTGATAAAAATGAGCACAAATGTATAACATGCGTAAAATACCACCCGAGTCATAAAGTGAATAAGCTGCACACACAAGTAAGACCTTTGCAAGTATAATTTTCAGTACAGTTTTTGTACTTTCTAGATAAAAAATATAGTCATAAATTTCATACCATCCTGTATGACTATGAAGATTGATCAAATTTAAAATATGAATTACCACAGATATGAAAAGTGAAACAATGATTTCAGTACTAAGTATTATAGGATGAACTAAAACATAATGTTCATATTTTTGAAACATGTATATTAACCCTGACAAGCAAATTAAGATAATAATGAAAGTAGAAATTAATACCCTTACATGTCTACTATAAGATGAATTTCCCATTACACTCAAAGACTGCAATAGATCACATATTTTTTCACGAATTTCATTCAAGGCAAATAAAACCATCATCAAACTCACATGTGCTACCGAACTGAAACGTAGCTCCGATTCCAAATTTGTAATACCTAATTGTATGCTCAACATTATAAACAATATCAAAAGCTTACGTGATATGCTATTTTCATATTGAGGCACAATAATAAATTTTAAAACTGGCTTATAAACTAAGCTGTCCACAAGTAAAGTCAGAAAAGATACAGTTCCACAAGCTGCTATTATATTATCACAGCTCTTGATGACAAGATGTTTAAAAATATATAGAAGTTGATTTGTACTGAATGATAAAATTCCATGTTCATAATAGTCAGTGAAAATATTATCATACACTAGAAAGGTAATGTCTTTGACTAGATGACTTGCACCAAATGCTTGTAATACTTGAAATACTTCAAAATTTCTTAAATTCGTTTCAAATGAATATAAAATTTCACTGGCATGGGAAGAAAGACTCCGTGAAGTTATATACATCCATAAAAAATTAGGTATTCTAGTGAGATATCTCACTGCATATGATGATAAATCTGAAAATGTTACTATAGCAATCACAATTGGTAACATATTTATTAGTTCTTCATGAGGTAATACTGCATTTATTAATGTTGGGACTATAAATAACACACCAACAAAAAACTGCCTTGGAGGAAAATTTGGTAAATTCCTAGCTGAAAAACAAAATCCTATAGCTAAAAATGTCTGTGACACATAATTGAAAAAAAAAATCTGAAGAGCCTTTCTATTAAAAATAAACATCTCATTTTGCAAGCTTGAATTTTCTCTCAGCAGCTCAAGGCAAAATTTAGCATATTCTTCATTTAAGATGTAAGACCATATTGTAATACCAGCAGCAGCAATCCAAAGGTATACTGACAAAAGATGCTGCACCGGCTGTATTGCCATGATGAAAACCAAAAACATCCCTAAAAATAAAATATATTTACAATACTAATAATATATATGCTGAAGCAAAACAAAAATACAATTTTTTTACCACTAACATCAGAATAATAGAAGTTCATTACTATTTTTTCAAGGCTAAACAAAAACAGGAAATAAAATTCTATAATTTTAACCCTCTGAACATGGGATCCATGAATAACTTGTTCACCTTTTATCTTGAATATATCCTGGGAATGTTCTTATTGCATCAGGAGCTGCAATCAGTTTCACAAAAAGAAAAAATATGAATTTTTTCAATGCTTTTATGTATTTTATACCTGCAGTCAGTGGATAAAATCTTTTACTTCCTGCGATTCATAAAATAATATTGCAACATGCTGGAAAAAGTAGAAAATTCAGCAATAAAACGTGTTATTACAAAATACAATACAGAAGATTAAAAATCTACCATATGATCAAGTATTGAAAAAATAAACCCTAAATACTAAAATGAATACTGTTACACACTTAACCCCTTAAGGACCAACGCCGGGAGAACGAAGCGTAGTCACGGGACCGGACCCGATAAAATAGATCGTTGCCACCGGCCCGCACATTTTCAGCAATTAAGCCTAATTTTACAAAAAAAAAAAAAAAAAAAAAAAAAAAACATCGTATAAAATCAGCATTTTGATATTATGACTTGAATTTTTGAAGTTGCATATTTAATATATTTGTTTTTAATGTGTATTAATATAAAGAATATCACATTAATAGAAATAAATTAAACAGGTAAAATACTAAAATCATAATTATACAAGCAGAAATAAATACTATAAGCATGAAAAAAAATTACAAATACAAATTTTAAAAAAAACTAAACAAAAATTACCTCTAGGTAATTAAATTCCAATTTAAAAATTCTGCTGTGTTTGAAATAACTCAAAACAAGAATCGACACACAGTCCTACATTGCATATTTCGCACTCAAAATATGTTGTTTGCTTTCGCTTTTCCTTGGTTTTAGCTCACACAATGCATCTTCTCCTACCTTTATTACCCTTTCCGTCAACCTAAATTTTCGGAAACTGTCTTCCAGTTAGATGGAAAGGTTGAGTGTCTGGTGATTTTGAACAAATTTTTATGTTTTTAAGTAAGGTTTCTTAGCCATGGCTAACGAAATGAAACTGAATATAACCTCAACACATTTCCCAAAACTTCTTCAAAAGACACTCAGAAATATTTCCTCCTCAAACTCTGTGTGACATCAGGTTTATATCAGAAAACTTCCTGTTTTTCTAAATCAAAAACAGCATCCACGATTACTGGAAAGTGATCAAAGAAAGACCCCCCCCCCAACTGGCGAGATATTCGTTACTGATCACGTCAATTTATACATTATATATAATTACATTATATGTAAAGTAAATACATTATATACCAAAATATAACGCCTCTGTCATTATACAGGGTTATCCAAATTAAACTTCCCCAACTCAGAGGCCTGTGCACAGTGTTGTATGGGTCATAATGTGATGAAATTTTAAAAACACACTTCAGATCATGCGCTCGAGATTTATTACACACAAAAAATTAGTACAAGAAGTTGCTGATAGGTGGCGCTGTAACACTAGTAATGTGCATATTGCTGCAACGTGATTTGCAGAAATAAAGCTTCTGAGCAACGTATCCAAAAGACGAGCTCTACAAAAGTGGAAGACAGGCCTTGCACAGGCAGTTGTTTCCAGCTCGCTGATGCACAATGGCGACTTTGAAAGACAAAGCTCTGTTAGTGAAACTTTTCTACCAGAATGACGAGAACTCCTGTGCTGCGATAGGAGCATTCCGTCGGCTGAAGATCTTACGTCGAGGACCAATGACACCATGCGCTTTACAAGACATGATGAAGAAGTCGAAAGAACGGAATAGCTGAGAATTTTACCAGGTAGAGGACGACAGGTTGTGGAATCTGCACGCGTAAAAGGATGTTGCTTTGGCGGTCGTGGAACCCACTAGCCAATCGCCACATGGTGTTGTCAGTGTGCCAACTGTTTCTCATGCTGTTGATATGCCTTATACAACCATCTGGCGTGTGATGCATCGAATCCTCGGTTATTTTCCTCACAAAATCCATAGTCGTCATCAGCTGTAAGATGGGGATCCTGTAGTTCAGGAAACATTTGCATTGCAGTTCCTTGCCATAATGGAAGTTGATGCTGCTTGGCCGTGGAACATCCTTTGGACGGATGAGGCCCATTTTTACCTGAATGGTCAAGTGAATATGCACAACTTCCGCATTTGGGCAAGTGAAAACTCGCATGCAATCCATCAAGTGCCCTTGAACCCTCCAAAGGTTACTTACTGTATGGTGCGGTTTCACTGCAACATTCGTCATTGGGCCTTATTTTTTTGAAGAGGTGACTCCAACAGGGTTCAAAACCTGCTCTGTCACAGGAAAACGGTATCAGCATATGTTGGCAACGTTTGTGATCCCTGAACTGCAACAACGTGTCTGCCTCCAGGACACGATATTTATGCAGGATGGTGCACCTCCCCATATTCTTTGTGGCGTTCAACAGGTGTTACGGGCAACTTTTACCGATGCACGTGTGATCAGCCGCTGTTTCCTTACAGCTTGGCCTCCCCGCTCGCCTGATCTCACGCCATGCGACTTTTGGTTATGCGGATTCTTAAAGGATCGGGTCTACAGAGAACACCCAGCAACCTTGGCACATCTAAAAGACGCAATTATTCGACATGTTCGTGGAATTAATGTGGACTTACTGCGTTCCGCTGTGGAACACACTGCTCTGCGAATGGAAAGAGTTGTGGAGAACCACGGCACACATATAGAACATCTGTAGAATGTCTTGTTGATCTACAGCGCCACCTATCGACAACTTCTTGTACTAATTTCTTTTGTTTAATAAATCTCGAGCGCATGATCTGAAGTGTCTGTTTTTAAAATTTCATCACATTATGACCCATACAACACTCTGCACAGGCCTCTGAGTTGGGGAAGTTTAATTTGGATAACCCTGTATATAATGATCATTAAAGGCATTATATATAATGACTATTAAATCGAGTAAGAAAAACAAAAACGCCAAGTCTTTCCTGACAAATGCGAGCAAGATGCATTACGCATAGCAAAAGCTATAGTCTTTCCCCTTCTGTAATAATGTTGCAATGTTAATTTTTAATTAACCAAGAAAGCTTATGTTACATTTCAAAATAAATAGAAAAACAAAAAAAGAAAATTCTAACGATACAAAAACGCCTGTGCCCCTTTAATTCACAGGCACACTAATAAACAGCTGTGATTTCCAATTTGTTTATTTCAATAAATCTCCCAAAACTAGAAGTACACCATACCTGCCAACCTCTAAAGATAAAAATTCAGAAGATTTCTCCCCCAAATTCAGAAGATTTCTCCAAAATTCAGAAGAACACGAAGAATTAATATCATGCTTTGATATTAAAAAGGAAAAACAATTTATACAAATAGAAAAAAGAAAATTGTACTTACATTAGTAAATCTCAATTAAATAGTAACTAAAAAATTTATTAGGAAACATAAAACAAGAACTAATGTTACACAAAAAAAATTATTGCAATTAATTTAAAGAGCATTTTTTGGCTTTAGCCAAAAAATTCTTTGGAAACAATTAGTTTTCTCATAACATTTAGCAATTAAAATGTTTTCTAGATTTTTTGGCGAAATTGAAGAACGAAACATAGTTTTGTTTTTCTTCACAACACTGAAGACTCTCTCGCACTCAGCATTACTATGTGGAATTACGAGAATAGCACATAAAACTCTTGCTAGTCTATCATATTTTGGTGTTCCATCAGCTCTTTTTATTCTTTTTAAGGTACCAACGAGGACATCAAGTCTATCTTCTCCAGAACTGGCAAAGTCTTCAAACTGTGCAGCAGAAAATTGGTTCTGTAGTTCATCTGAAGCATCATTATGGAATTCATTTTCTTTAATTGTTAACAAAAATGGAAATTTATCAATAAAAAATGGAATCTTTTCAAAAGATGAATTTTCAATTTGTTTCAAATTTGCCACTTCATTTAAAAGAACTTCATTTTGCAAAGGAAACTTCCTTACAATGTAATCACAGGCTGAGGAAAAGTACTTTCTGACACATTGAAAAAATTATTTTTTCTCATGATCTTTCAAAGAATTTACAAGTTCCCTGGTTTGATATTTCTGAGCAATCTTGGAGTCGGGAAACATCCGTCTGAAAAGTTGACCGGCGCAGCGCTTAGCGGCACGTTGTGTTCGATGACGAATGCAGTAAACAAACACTCTGCCAAAATGACATCGGCATCCGAATTCGTAGCCAAAAAAAATCATCCACTTTCTTTGATGTTGTCGAAGCCGAAGCATTAACTTCATGCTTTTTAGACTTAACATGCTTCACAATGTCGCTTCTTCCACCATGACTTATTATGAAGTCACATACGCACATGTTGCAAAATGCAGTTATTTCCTCTGAAGGATTCTTTAATTGTTCGGCTTTGTAGGCAGCTGAAAATATTGAGAATACGGCTTTTTTGAACTCATTTCGTAACAACGATGTATTAAGAAAATTTGTAGCACGTGCAAAAAAAAAAAAAAAAAAAAAAAAAAAAAAAAAAAAAAAAACAGAATGCGACAATCCACGCTCGCTGAATCCGAGCTGAGTAATTCCACAAGTTCAGCGCATTGGATTGGCTGGTTTAGCAGCGAGTTGGGAGAAACCGCAGGTTACTGGATTCGAAGTAGTCAGTAGTTGGCGGTAAAACACGATGCAATTGGCGAAAGTCGCTGAATTGGCGAAAAATTCTAAAATTTCGACAAAAATCACTAAAAATACTTGAAAAAGGAAAAATATCGTAAAAAATGGATTACGATCGTAAAATCGTAAAGACAAATGCATTTTCGTAAAAATTACGAAAAATTCGTAAAAGTTGGCAGGTATGGTACACTAATGTCAGTCAGTACATGAAGGTCAATGAATCAACCCATTAAAAAACAATTACCTCTTAG